TTTTTTCCCTTTCATTTGTTCAAAATAAATTTAATCTATTCATTCATTTAAAAGAAAATTAACATGTTAATGTAAAGAGATTAATCTGTGGAATTAACAAATTCATTTTTAACGCATTAATGCATGAACAACAAAGTTATTACTCATGAGATATTAAAAATTCAAACTGGGGGTCAAGAACACAAGCTTATGTTATCTTGGGGGTCGTGGCACAAAAAGTTTGAGAACCACTGTTCTAATGCAGGGAATCCCTGAACTTTTGCATCAAGCCTCCTTAAGATGTACAACGCAGTCATTCAAGGGAGTAAAATAGATATTTAACAGTCACATAGCTGCTAAAATGTCAAATCAGCAACACACAGTTTGCTTAGTTTAACTGCAGCTCGGTTAGAAAGACTGAATTATCAGTAATCTACACACAGGTGATGCTTTAACAAGTCCGCGCAGGATCATAATGTAAAATAAAGTACATTCTGTTTTCATTTCAACCCCCTTTTGAAATAATCTGAGGTCAGAGTTTCACTAATGTTGTGTGTCTGTGTGGGAGTCTGTCTTCTAAGCATCACTGTCTCTCCATCACTGTGTGTGTGAATAACATGTTTTTATCCTTTTGTTGTATGTTTTCTTTCTTTGAAGGAAAAAGAGCTTTCATTTTGATTTTGCAGTAAGGTATTGTGGTCGATTGAGTTCTCATGTAGCCTTGTGATTCATGCGCTTTTCTGTGTGTCGTTGCCGTTTCCCCTCCTCAACCTTCTCGGGTCTTTGTCGGATCCTGACACTTTAACAGCCGCCCGCAAAGTGTTTTCGTGCATCAGACCAAGTTTTGATTCAAAAATCAACCTTTTTTGAACCCTGCTGAGACATTTGCTTTGTCCTTTTTGTTCACATGAAGTTGTGGTTGATGTAAACAGTTTCCTCAATAACAGGAAAAGCAGAAAGTCCAAGTGATTGAAAAGCAGGTTTTCTGTAAAAGCTGTTATCATCCAGGGTCGTGCAGTTCATGTCCTGCAGCATTAAAAACACAAAATCATCAATAATATTTAAACTAGTCAAGTAGATTTCTAAAATAAATGATAAGTTATTGAATCTTAACCTTAATATTCAAATTAGTCAGCTAAATTTAATTAATAACAAAGTTTTTACTGTAATATTTGAATTAATCGAATAAATTTGTACAACAATTATTATTGTAGTGTCTGAACTTTAGTATTTCAATGATTCAGGTACATTTATGTCATAAATAATACAGTAGGATCTTAAATTTGGTGTTTAATTTAGTCAGGTAATGTGCATAATTAATGATATTGTATGATTTAAATTAGTAAAATATCTGTAATAAATAATATAGTAGGCTCTTATTAATTAGACTTATTGGAAAAATGTGTATAATTAATAATACTTTATGGTTTGTATCTTAATATTTAAATTAGATACATTTTTATAATTAAGAAAACGTGTAGTCTCAAATTTAGTATTTATGTTAAATGCTTTAAATTATAGATCATTTCTAGTATCTTAAATTTGATATTTAAAATAGTAAGATACATTTGTATAATTAAAAACAAACATAGGGTCTTGAATTTGATGATTAATTTTGCCAGGTGTTTTTTTAACCAGTTATTGTCCAGTTTTAATCAGAAATATTTAAAATATTCTGGAAAATGTTATGACTAATTTGTAGGGTCTTAAATGTATTATTTAAATTAGACAGATAAATGAATATAATAAATAACTGCAGAGTCTTGAAGTTATGAATTAATTATTCAGGTAAATTTGTATTATTAATGATATTTTATGCTCTTATTCATAATATTGAAATGAGTCGGGTAAATTTATGTGATAAATTATACACGGAGGATATTTGCAATAATGTTAGAATTAGTTTTACATTTGTAGAATTAATGAGGTTCTGCAATTTTAATTATAGATATGTATGTTACTTAAGTCAATGTATATAATAAATAATATAGCAGGATCTCACATTAGTCTGGTAATGTGTTATTATTAATACTGTAGGGTCTTCGATTTAATATTTAGTCAGGTACATTTCTATAATTAATCATATTTTAGGATATTAAACTTAATATTTAAATCAACCAGGTACATTAGTAAAATTATTATTATTTCTCTACCTGACGGCACTTTGTCTCAACAGCTGTTTTTTTTAAATGAACTTTATGAATGATAATAAATTGACTTGACTAAAACCACATGATGGAGCGTTTGATTAGTAAACTGAATTATTAAGCTTCTCCTCAAAGTCTCGACAACAAACACATCTTTCGTCCTGAGCATTTATGCTGCATTTGATCAACAAGAAAAGAGACATTTCTGTGTTTCGACTCGCTTCATCTTGAAGGAAAAACGTGCTGTTAAAGTGACAGGAGACCAAATCCAATCAGCTCAGCCCTCCTTTGGTTTTTTTTTCCCTCCTGCTGTTTCTTCTTCATTGTGCTTCTGGCCATTCATGTCTGTCTGTTATCTGTCCTGTTACATGTAGGAACCGTGCACACTGTCATAACGATGCTTCCTTCCTTAATTAACATAGTTCAGTCACATGCTTGGTTGAATTTGCTACTGGGCCTGTTTCAGACCTGTACGCTGCACGTCTACCAGCATGTGTTAAGATCAGTAGGTTCCTGAAACAGTCTGGTGCTAATTATGTGAAAAGGAACGAGGAGGACTGGAAACGTCCTTGAAAGCAAATCTGAGCAAACACAAGCAGATATTCATCCATTATGTAAAACGTTCTTCTCTCTTTAAGTAAATCTGAGCTCGCCTGCAGCCCTGGTTTCCATGTGTGAGCGTCGGGCTGTGGACCCACTCAAAGACTCTCGAGGACACTCCAGCAAATAAGTGGAATTAATTAACTGAAAGTGAACAAATTTAACACTGTCTCTGTTTTTATTACATGGAAATGAGTAGGAAGATGTTTAGAGGTTATGGAGCCATAAAGACTTTATATAAAGAACTAAGAACTGTTCAAACAACATAAATAGTGTTAAGAAACAGCATGTTGACCCTCTGAACCACCAAACCTGATGACAGGTTTAAAAGGTATTTTATCTTATAATAATATCCCAAATTAAACTATTTAATTAATCCAAAAACTGTAAAAACAGAAAGAATTGTCTGATTTTAAACCGTCTGACGTCCTTTGAACTGCTCATTTGTGCCATTCTGAGGGAAAAACTACATTTAAAATTGTGACATTTCATCAAAATTCTACTTTTTTTTTTTTTAATGCCAAAAATCCAGTGTTTGCTGGAGCCAGATTTTGTACAAAACAAAAAATTCTGTAATCATTCGCACATTTGCACAGCCGTTATTGACTCAGCTGTGTTCAACAATCATGCCGAACTGCAGGATGTGTTTACACACAGCAGAGAGGACGAAATTATTGAAAACAATTAAAAATATAAATCGGAAAATATCTTTATAGTGTACCTAAATACTTGGGACAATGCTGCACATGTCGATTCCAATATTTTATTTTGTTTTTTAAAAATTTCTAAACAAATAAGCAATCAAATTCAACGTTTTTTCTTTTTGTTTTTTTTGGTTTTTTTTTAAGGATTTATGGAGAAGATATTTTTTCCTTGTTCCAAAATTTGCCAAAAAATATAGAGTTTGCAGTGACCAGACTTTTTTTTTCTGGATGTATGGTGTTTTAAATCTGGTATATTGCAGAGAAGACAATTTTGAGTTTTTTATTCTAAAATTTTCCCAAAATATAGAATTTGCTGTGACCAAATAAAAATGTCATCATGAGTAACTCAGCTGCGACCAACACATGACAAAAATGTAGCTGAACTGCAGCTTGTGTTCACAGAGCAATACCTTTGGAAATAAACTAAAAACGTCCATATTAATCAACAGTTTTTTCCCTTTTTTGGTAACACCTGTGGACAAAATGTTGCCGATACCAGTTGTTTTTTTCAGTTTATGTAAAATAAGTACGCCAACAAATTTAACCTTCATTCTTTGCTTTTTATGATTGATGGCGTTATAACTTTTCTACACTCCACAGAAAACATTTTAGAGTTCTCTTTGCTTCCAGCTGTAATTGTGCTATTTGTTCGAGGTGCAGGATTTTATATTTGTGGTGAAACATGATCCCACAGTGAGTAGAAAATATGACAGGAGGCAGAAAACACCCAGAAGCTGCTTTGAGTTCAGAGGATTCATATAAATGAAAGAGATAAAATGTCAGCTCCAAAACATTTAAAACCTCCAGCAAGGGTTTCTAATAATAAAGAAAAGCTAATATTCATAGTAATTAACAAGATAATGAGACCTGGAGTCGTTCCGTCTGCATGTCCATCACTCAGCTGTCCATCCACACGGATCGACATGCATGTGCAACGTCTAACTAATGACATCACACATTTGATCCGGTACGTGGATGACGGAACGCTGCGCTCCGTCATGAACCCATCTCTGCAAGGCCAACGTAACATCGCTCACATACCAGGCAGACATGCGGCTTCTTTCTCTCTCTCTCTCTCTGGCTGCTCTGAATCTGAATCGAGATGTGTTGTGTTGGGAAATCAAACTGTTACCTTCTGCACACTGTCTTCTCTCTTTTATCTCCCCCCTCCTCCGTAGTCTGTCTGTTTCTTCCCTGGGGGGGCGATGGCAGGTTTCTTCAAGGCAAGAGCAACAACCTCTCACATCATCAAACGTCTTTTTTTGGTACATTTAGAAGTAGAGCTCCATTCAGGCTATTTTTCTTGGGCGTCGCCGGGAAAATAGTTCACACTGTAGACTGCTTGTAAAGCGTAGCGATGCACCGCCGCTCACAGGTCGTGCATGAGAGGTTTTGGGGGTCTTAGGTTGGTGCTCTTCCTTCTCGTCCACTTGTCTAGTGTTAGTGGTTCCCCTTGCTGCCTCCTGAATGCCCTCCTGACTCTGTGTAGGTTGATCCAGCGGCTTGTTCGAGGCCACAAATCGGCCGGTAGCTTGCATGTTTTGCTCTCTCGCTTCTCCAGCTACGATCAGAAACCCGCAGACGGGGAGTACAATCTGTTTAAATTGAGGTTTGAGCCCAGCAGCATGTGCAGCTGGGCTTTGCATAGCTTCTATGCAAAGGAAGACATTTCCACTGGAAATCTTTCAAAGTCAACATGTAGAAGCTACTAATGACTAGATCTCAGCGGTAGTACCTGTAGAAGCCATTTCCTTAACCTGTAATCTGTATGATCTTCTACCTTCCACAGCCCTTTAGAATCCATTAGATTGCTCATTTATGTCCTTTTTGCCTTTATTTGTTACCTGAACTCTCCTCTGGGCTCTCCTGCCTCCCCACAGCCCCGACGAGGACTCCTGTCAGAAGTTCATCCCTTTCATTGGGGTAAGCAGAAGCATTTCGACTAAAGTATTCGCTGTACTTTGGTTTATTCTTTTTAGATTTATGAGGCCGTTAGAGATGTCAGTGTGAGTTAAACTAACTTTTCCCTCCTCTTTTCATTCTGCAGATGGTGAAAGTTGGCATTGTGGAGCAAACGTCTGCAACATCAGGTACACCACAGTTTGGATGTTCTGTCGACATTTAGCATTAAAACAAACACAAAAGTGCTCCAGTAGGATGTTCATCTGGCTGTTATAGTCTACAACGTCACTTATCAAGTACTAATAATGCAGTCCTGAGATCCCTCATCAGGCAGTTTCACAACCATTCACACTATGGTTTGGGGATGAGACTAATACCTGGATCAGTCAGTTAGACCTGAAGAAGCATCTTGGATGAAGGTGAAACATCCTCAAGAGACAAAAAAAGAGTTTCTTTTACTGAAGAATTTAGGATTACCTGGATGCACAGACTGCAACCTGCATAAAGACTCTTAAAGCGTCATCAGACAACGTCACACACTGAGCTGCATGGTGACATTTACATTGCAATCATTCTTTGTAATGTTCTTAGATGTAACTATATTCTCAATTCAGTGATATGCAGCCCCCAAACTCTCAATAAATTAAAATGATCAGGTCAAAAACATTGTAATATTTGTTTTATCTGTCAATTAACCTACAAATTTAGATTTATGGAGAGTTTTTATTTGACCAGTGGATTTTTTTCTGGCTAGAAATGACATAATTAATTCACAACAGATGCCAAAAGATTGTCTTTACAGTCGATGTTGTCTTTATAGAAGGTGATCATGACAAATATGAGCGATTTCTATGCAAGTTTTTTGGTTCATTTTTTGATTTAGGAGGCTGGATCCTCACAAAACTCGTAATTAATAATAATTCATCATCTCACAACCCCTCAGCTGTACAGTATCTTAGAATCTCTGTGAGGGGTCCCAACTTTCAAATTTCAGTTGTTAGCAGTTCGCTGATTGTGAGGATGATGCTGTGTCAACATCTGGAGTTAGTTCCGTTCCCACAAACTGCTGATCGTGTCGGACATATTCAAGGGTGCGTTCATTCCCGGTGGTTTCAGTCGGACCTTGCTTCCTTCCTCAGGAGACTCTGACGACGCGGCTCCTCTGAGCTCGTCGCTGTTGTCCTCCACACCTCCACAAGTGTCCCCCGCTCTGAAGGAGGCGTCGCCCACACCGCCCTCCTCTCCCTCCGTCAACACCAGCTTCTGTGCTTACAGGTACAACATGCATTTAGCAGCTTTTTATGTGTTTGTTTTTTTTCACTTGTGCTCTTGTAAAATATAGAGAAAACTGTATAGCTTCAATTTTTTAACTTTGTAGAGATTTCCTCTTTAAATTTGAGACATGTTATATTTATATGACAAGAAGAAACTGGTTCATGGCAGGAAAATGAGGCTGAAAAATACACGTGATTTTGTAAAATTCCTTTCAGAAGTCTTAATTTTACAAACTGGTTCCAGCTTTACAAAATCTGACATTTCCCAAAATGTTCATATGATCTCTTAGAAGCTTTTTAAATTTGTTTTATTAGATTTTAAGCAGATGCAGCAACATGCATGATAATCTAACAACAAAACAACTGAAATAATAGATTCATGCGAGATTTTTCTTTCAGGTCGTCATATAATTACTTACAATGAACAGAGTTACTTTGCCTTTACAGGTTAACAAATGAGTTTTATTGTACAGTAGGAAATTTGTTAATGAGTTTTTCACTTTATTTTGGCTTTACTGATTAAAAATGTGTAACTGTTTTGTTTTCTTTTGATGCACGTGCAAGAATATGGAAATGTTGTCGACCCAGAGTACACAACAAAAGAGAAAAAAAAATGTCAGCAAACCTTGAATAAAGTAAACAAGACTCAAAAGGTGCTGAAAACCAAAAGCTTTGTGTGCCGACCCCTAAACAGAATATTCAGTTTAAATAAGTCATTAAATAATTGTAAAATTATCCCCCAAAAAAAGACAAAGCATTGTATGTTAACACAAAGGACCATTTTAGACTAAAATCTTGCACTTATTTACAACATTATCTTTGAATATTTTCTTAAATTCGGTCCTTTAACAAAACAAAATCCATCTCTTTTCCAGATTAGTTCTGACTCTGGTGTTCTAAACATACATATTTTAAGCTTATGACAAATCTCTCTCATTTGAAACATACTTTTAAAAGAGAGTTTGAGTTAAACTGCTGTTTCCTGCACAGAATCTCACATCCAGCTCTTGTGAAATGTTTGCAGTGCTTTGTTTGAAACAGAACAACTTCCACAGCATCTTCTTTGCTGATTCCTCCTGCAGTTCTGGCGGTCAGGCGGAGCTGATGGGGCTGCAGGTGGATTACTGGGTGGCTCCGACGGAAAGGAAGAAAGACGTGGAGAAGCGGGACTCCTCCTCCAAAAACACTCTGAAGTGCAATTTCCGCTCGCTGCAGGTCAGCCGGCTGCCACTGGGGGGCGCTGAGCCCAGCCCCCAGCCCACCATGTCCATGACTGTGGTGACCAAGGAGAAGAACAAGAAGGGTACGCTGTGCAATGTTTGCTTGCCTTAAAGGTGCAATTCGTAAAACTTAACCTTTAAAACGCCAATAAACCAAAAAAACATGTCGAAGAAACACGTCCAGTCTTTCACAATCTGACCACAAACGTTGCACAAAAACCGGCCAAATGTCATCACGTTTTAATCCTCAGAGGCCGCAGCGATTCTGAATCCCTCATTTGCTCACAGTGTGCATCCCTGTTGTTCCCTTCTGCCAGTCATGTTCCTGCCAAAAAAGAGCAAAGACAAGGAGGTGGAGTCCAAGAGTCAAGTGATTGAGGGCATCAGCCGCCTCATCTGCACTGCCAAGCACCAGCAGACCATGCTGAGAGGTAATTTCCAGCACAGGCCTCCTTCCCCGGTTTTGCTCTTCCTCCTCAGACGGACCGCAGATGTTTCTGTGTTCTGGTTTTCTGATTCTTACAAGCTGACTGTTGAAACGCAGCAGTAGCAGTTGATTATAGCACAAAAAGCTGCTCTTATCTCCAGCTAATGTTGACACAAAACAATATACGGAAGCTTTTAGGAGAGAGTGTTGTCATTTATTGTTGAACTTCAGTCATTTTAACAAAAAAATGCTCATTTTTGATAAATCCTGGAAATACGTTGTGTTTTTAAAAAGTGTAGATGTTAAAAATACACCACCGAATAGCCTGAGAGACACAAAAATCTGTTATTTTTCTGTTTTATTTAGTTTTTATATCAATATGTCTCCAGGAAGTTGTTCATTTGGGTCTATATTTTATTGTGACACGACTGATTTAACTTTTAGCTAATTTTACTGCTACCTTTCAGTATACTGTAGTTGGTTTTGTCACTTTTTTGGCCTCAACAAGTAGCATAATTAACTTTACTGTTAAACCAGCATGTGGTATGAAATTACACTACATACTAATGACATAAAGTCTTTTGTATTCTGCGCACTTTCAATACTGCAGTGCAGCAGTTTAGTAATTAACATGTTTAATCTTGAACCAAAGTTTACATACACTGATAAAGACCATGTATATGATGGAAGTCTTCAGTTTCCTCCAACTATTGGTTTGCTTTGATGGAATCATTGGACCACATTTTGACCCATTTTGGTTTGTAATAGATTTATCAAACATGTAAATATACATACAGAAATCCAGATATTATATATTATAGCTTCTCCCCAAGAACACCAATCTAATGTGAAGCATGGTGGTGGCAGCATCATGCTCTGGGGCTGTTTTGGTGCCAGTGGAAGTGGTGTTTTATGCAAAGTAATTGGAATAATGTCAGAAAGCAAACAACAAATTTAGTTGTACTGCACTAACTCTGTGAAGAGAAGAAGTCAAAGATACAACCAGAGACTTGCCAGAAGCTGTAATATATAACGTTACAATCGCTGTATGCACATTTTGACTGAGCAGGTTTCATCATATTTCCAAAAATAATTATAATTCCAATCATAAATCTATGAAAAACCAGAATGGGTAGAACTCAA